GTGCTGGGCTTGGAGCCAGAAAGAACTGAGTTCAAATACAGCCTCAGATACTAGCTGAGGGTCTCTGGGCAAGGCACTTAACTTTTGCCTGCCTCAGTTTCCTCAACTACAAAGTGGGGATAATACTTTGCAGGGGTTTATGAGAATCAAATGAGATAATATTTGCAATGCATTTAGCACAGTGCCTGGCATAGAGGAGGTGCTTAGTAAATAATGACTTCCCCCTCCTTCTCAAAATTACCTTGTATTTATTTTATATGCATTTAGTATATCCCTGGGCAGCCAGGTGGCACAACAGATAGAGTGCTGGGTCTGGAATCAGGAAGACCAGAGTTCAAACACATCATTTGTCACTTACTAGCTGTGTGACGCTAGTCATAACTCTGTTTGTGTTTGCCTCAGTTTCCTCATCTGTCAAATGAGCTGGAGTAGAAAACGGCAAACCACTCCAGCATCTTTATCAAGATGGAGTCGCTGAGTCAGACATGACTGAAACGATTAAACAGCAACAGCAGTATTCCTATATACGTACCTATTGTCTCCTTAAATAGAATGTAAGCTCCTTGAGGGTAGGAACTGCTTCACTATTTTCTATGTATCTCCAGAGCCGGCCATGGTGTCTGGCACATTGTAGGAGAACACTAAATGCCTGTTAATTGATAGATTGATTGATAACTACTTAGTGAATTTAATTGAACTGACTTTAGTTCTCCTGACTCTCAGTCTCTTACCCTTACGACAACCTGCCTCGTAGCTAAACTAAGTTCTTGGATTCCCTTAACATGTGCCCTTTTTTTCCCTCTAAATCCTAGTTCGAAAGAGTTCCCTGTGAGTAACTGCAGGCAGTTCCTCTCTGCTAGGATGGGATGAAAAAAATCATTAGATTGTAAGCTCCTTGAGGGCAGGGACTGTCTTTGGCCTCTTTTTGCATCTCAGTATACTGCCTGACACAAAGTAGGCACTTAATAAACGTTTACTTGACTGATCGATTAACTGAAAAATGTATACTGACACCTCCTTCCCTCTCTCCTCCCCCCCCCCAGAAAGCCATAAAGGGAAGACAAGGTCTCAACATTTCATGCCTAACTTTGGAAACATCAATAGCTAATCCAGGCAATCATTCAGTCAACAAACATTTATCAAACACTTTCAATGTGCTAGGCATTAGGAATAAATACAAAGAAAGGCAAAAACGCAGTCCCTGCCTTCAAAAAGCTTGAATTCTATTGGAGGAGACAACATGCAAAATAACTACCTAGACACGGGATGTGTGCACGGTGAAAATGGAAAGTAATCTTGAGGAGAAGCATTAGAAGTGAAGGGAATGGGGAAAGGCCACTTGCACAAAATGGTATTCATGCTGCATCTTGAAGGATGCCAGGGAAAGTACGAGGAGATCAAAGAGAGAGCCACACCTGAGCCCTGGTCTCCACGAGCCTGGTTAGTAGCAGTCTTCCCAAGTGCTCTGTGTCCCAGAACTACACACACCAGGATGGGGAAGGTCTTCCCCTGCAGCCTGAAGGCCCCCAGAGGCTCCATCACTAGGCTAATGAGTGACTTAGACTGAGAACTGAAACAGAGCACAGAGGGGCCTTTCTTTGAGCTGGGGAAAGAAGTCAAGGCCCCAAGTTCAAGTGTCTAACAGTTCCAGGCCATGACCCTGGTTCCAAGGAGAAAGACAATCCCTCCATTGGCCTCCAAGACTTGGGCATCAGCATCCTTGCCCTCAGGAATAGCTCCTCCTCCCCAATTCTCTTATTCCTTAATGAAGCCATTGTTGGCTCTGTGTTCCCTTAACCCCCCTGCCTCCCCCTCACTCTCCTGCCCTCCCTTTCCCTTTCACTTTTTGGCCTTCTCTTCCCCATGAGGTTCTTAATATCTCCCTTGGTCATCTAGAAGAGAACTAACTCCCTGAGTCCTGTGTGACCCAGAGCCTTTCTCCTGGACCCCAGGGCATCAAGTCTGATCGAACAGACCCTAGTCACAATAAAAGGACCCCCCCTTTCCTTCCTGTCCTACTCCTCACAAAGCCTTCCCTTCCAATTGCGAAGAAGAAACAGAAAAATTCTCCACCTTCTGTCTCCATGGAGCCAATATGCTCAAATCGATGTCAGTCACACTACATCCCAAGGTCCACTGAAATCTTTTGAGCTCTTGCCCTCCTCCGCTCTCTGTGGGGCACCTAACCCCATCAGCAACCACCTGGGGCAATCTACACTGGTCTTAGGGAACCAGGACAGCTCAATATCTCCCTTCTATTAGACAGTTTGAATGATTGCTCTGCAGAATGGTTAACAGGAGGGCTGGGCTAACTAATGATAACAATAAAGATAACTAACAATAATATTAATTAATATGAACTACCATGTATATAGCACTTTTAAATTTGCAAAGCAATTTACAAATATTATCTCATTTTATCTTCACAGCAGCTCTGGGAGGCAGATGCTATTATTATCCCCATCACATGATGAGAAAACTGAGGCAGACCTAGATCGAGTGACTTGCCCAGGGCCACATAGCTAATAATCTCTGAAGCAGGCAGGATTTGAACTCAAGACTCCAGGTCACTGTGGCACCTACTGGTCCCTTAAATTACATCTATCATCTCTTCCAACTCAAATATTCCACGTTTTTATAAAACCCTCTCCTCATCCTCTCACACCAGGTTCAATGTTAATTGCAGCACCCTCCTCCCTACCAACTCCTTCTCCCTTGCCAGAGTTATTGGTACTCATAAGGCCTCCACAAGTCAGTAACTGGCATCCACTCAATTCACTCTGTTCTATCCTCATGAGACACTTGAGTGGCAAGGTAGCAGAATGCCAAGGATTTCCACTAAGCCTGGGCATCAGGAGAATTTTGTTTTAGTCCCACTAAGTAACAAGACCTTTTCTGAGCCTCAGTTTCCTCCTCTGCAAAATGAGGAAGTAAGACTAAATGCCATCACACACACACACACACACACACACACACACACACACACACACACACACAAGGTCTAGTCAACTCTACCAGTCTATAGTTTGAAACCTGGATGTTCAAAATTGTTATAAGGGTACTTGCTGCCCTGAAGTGAGGCCCACATCCTCCCCTCCAGGGTAGAGTCCCCCAGAAGTCAGCCTTAGACCTGTTACTCAGACTCCCTCAGAGCTGCCCAGAGCCACCTCCCCATAGAGCATTTGCCTGCACTCCCCTCTGTATTTGCAGGCAGGGAGAGTCAGGGGGGAGAGACTGGTTGGCTCCTCCTACCCCAAAGAGCTTACTGCCCCACAAGGACTGCCAGGTATCCACCCCAGCTGGGGGTGGGGTGGGGTGTTGTAAGCAGGTCTTATGAAACTGCCCAAAGTAACAATGCATCTCTCTATGAGGCCAGCAGGCTAAGAAGCCAAGAACAGCAGAATTGTGGGGCACTGAAGGGCAGCCAGCACCTTACACAAGTACCTGGGTGGCTCCTACTCCCCCAGCTGTCCAAGGCCAAGTCCCCTTGAGGGTGCAGGCCCCAGCTGGTGCCCACCCCTGGGGGTAAGCATGGGCACCTCAGGGGCCCGAGCTACCATCCTGAGCCCTTCAATAGAACCTTGGCCAAAATTCCTGATCAAGGTTGGCAGGACCAGACTTAGTAATAACAACTGTCATTTCTAGACCACTTTAGGTTTCACAAAGCTCTTTCCTCAAAACAAACCTGTAATTCAGTGCAAGTGTTATTATCTTCATTTTACAAAAAAAAAAAAAAGTAAAATGAGATTCAGAGAGGTTGTGGAACTTCCTTATGACTACACAACCAGCCAGTGACAGAGCTGGAACTCAACCCCAGCTGCCATGACTGCCAGGTCTACTTCTCTTCCCATTATGCCATAACAAGCTCTGTTCCTTCATAAAGGCAGAAGGAGCAGTATCTCAGCAGAGGAGAGGAGGAGGCCCATGACCAGAGACTCTTCCTTGCTACCTCGGAAAAGTCATTCAATTTCTTCATCTATAAAATGGAGCAAGCAGTCATAACTAGTAGGAATCTTGCCAATGGCAAAAGAAGCTGGAGAACGGGCATGGAGAATGGCACAGAGGACAGCCAGTCCAACTAGAAGGCAAGGGGATAATGGGAAGGGAGCCACTCATCCTCTCACAACTCCCACCCAGGACCTCATCCCTGCTCATCAAGACAAATGCAGCAATGGAAGAAAGGAATTTCTCTTAACCTATTATGTTGGCATCGTAAGGCAAAGTCCTTATTTCCCATGCTGGTTGTGGCTTTAAGGGGGTCATAATACTTTCAATTCCTACCTCACAGCTCACAAGAACTTGAAGGATCAGGGATGTAAATGGAGATTTCCAAAACTGAAGCCCAAGCATAGGAGATGAGACAAAAAAGATACCCTGAGACATCTATCCAAAGGCAGGCTTTCACTCTGGCAGAGAGAGCTCCGAAATCTGTGCCACAGCAGGACCGAGGCCCAACTCAACCCCACCTCAGGGGCCCATGGATGGCTAATATAAGGATCCCAGGTTAAGTGAAGAAAATGCATCTTCTAATGCTGCCTACTATGACCCAACAGAGGTAAAGAGAACTCAGTAGCAAGGATCCTAATGAAGACCAGTCTAACTTGGACGAGGAGGGTCAGAGTCAGCCAATGCAAGGATGGGGAGAAAAGGGAGGAGGGCAGAGGTGTGAGGGAAGAGAAACCAGAGCGGGAGGAGAGGGCCCGAGGGGATAGAGATAAGAGAGCTAAGTGAGCGAGAGAAGGAACAGGAGGGGAGCAAGATAAGGAGGAATTGATGTTGGGGTGGGGGGAAAAAGGCTCTCAGGGAGACGCACTGGACCGAGGGCAGGAGAATGAGAAGGAGCAAGAGGCAGAAAGGCGAGGGGCCGGAGGCCCAGAAGGGGGGAAGCAGGGAGAGTAGGGGCTCGGGACAGGGCGCGCCCGAGTGTGTGGTGGGGAGGGGGGTGAGGAGGATGGAGTGGGCGAGGGGGGTCAGACCTGCCTCTCTGCTGCCCCGGGGCCATGGGCCGCAGGAGATTGGCTGCGGCTAATCGGTGGGGTACAGCCAGCGCTCCGTGGTGGGTGGCGCCAGGGTTACTCAATCGGGAGCCGAACCTGCTGCAGACACACACTCGGCTCCTGCGCTGCGCTCCGCGTGCCGCTAAGTCACCGCGCCCGAAGCAACGCGGACCACCAGGGTCCCGGGACCCGCCAGCGGGACGGCTCGGATGCTAAGGGGCTGGGGGAGCGGCCCGAGCCCTGGCCCTAGAGGCCGCACAGAGAGAGAGATGCGGGGCGCACGGGCGACGCTGCGGCTGCTGCTGCTGGGGGCTGGGGCTGGGGCTGGGGCTGGGGCTGCTGGTGGTGCCGGGCGCTCCGGCCGCCCGAGCCGAGGAGTACGACTACTACGGTTGGCAGGCGGAACCCCTGCCCGGCGGGGGCGGTGGGCGCTTCTACTCCAAGCCCCCGCAGTGCCTGGACATCCCGGCCGACCTGGCGCTCTGCCACACGGTGGGTTACAAGCGCATGCGGCTGCCCAACCTGCTGGAGCACGAGAGCCTGGCCGAGGTGAAACAGCAGGCGAGCAGCTGGGTGCCGCTGCTGGCCAAGCGGTGCCACTCGGACACGCAGGTCTTCTTGTGCTCACTCTTCGCCCCAGTCTGCCTGGACCGGCCCATTTACCCATGCCGCTCGCTCTGCGAGGCGGTGCGCGACGGCTGCTCCCCGCTCATGGGCTCCTACGGCTTCCCCTGGCCCGAGATGCTGCACTGCCACAAGTTTCCTCTGGACAACGACCTGTGCATCACCGTGCAGTTCGGCCACGTGCAGGCCACCGCGCCGCCAGGTAGCGAGAGCCCCCCGCGGCGCCCCACCCCCACCCGCTCGCTGGGTTGTCGGTGGAACGCAGGGGCGCCAAGGCTTCCTAAATGCGCGCCCTCTCCTGCCTCCCCAGTTCAGTTCCCACTCTCAGTTCTGGGAGCCCCCTCTGCCTCCGACCTTCCCAAAACCTCTCTTTCTCCTGCGCTGAACCACTTTCACGCCAGCTTTTCCCAACACAAGTTCCAATTTCTCTCCACCTTCTCTTCTTGTCCTTTGGAGTAACAATAGGATGCGCCTGAATTCGTGGCTTTGCGCCTGAATTCGTGGCTTTTTGTCCCAGTCATCTCGCAGTCCACTCCCCAAGCCCAGGGCCGGCGTCAGCGAGGCACAGAAATAAGGGGGGAAACTAAGCCAATGAAAAACGAAGCCACCTGGACAGCAAAGGAGCTAGTGCCTTGGCTTGGGTTGGGACTCCACTATCTTAGTTCTCACTCTGGGCAATCCTCCCCAGCTCTCCCCACAACCTTTTTCCTGGGACTTGTGGGCTCAGGCCAGTACTCTGCCACCCACCCCAGGTAGACTCTAAATCCTATCCAAGATTGACCCTGATGGCATGCTAATCCATAAGATCCACCCGCGTCCCAGGCCACCCCGCCCCCATCATTCCTTCACAAGAGCCTAGAAATAACCCTTGAGGTTGAGCTCCTGAGGGCCTTTAATAAAAGTCTAGCCTTAACCTGCCCTGAGGTCGCAGCCCTCTGGGTTGAGACCAGGAGAATGAAGGAAGAGGGCTCTGGGATCAGGGGAGAATAAGAGCAAAGAAGAGGAAGCCAGAAGCAACATCAGTAAGGCATTTTCCCAGCCTAATATCCAAGCTCCCTCCTCTTCTTTCCTTAGAGACCAAAATGCAAACAAGTCCCTCGGCTTAGGCTTCCCTTCTCTGAGTCCCCCTCACTCACCCTCATTGGCCCTGTGGGTGGGGGGAGGGGGAACCCAGATGGAATCCAACCTTGACCCAGAGAAGTTCCCTCCCCTACCCTTTCTCTACCCATCAGTGAAGTCCTATCCTTGCTCCTCTCTTGGGCTAAACCTGGAGTCCTTAGGTATGCCCCCAAGTCAAATCAGTGAGACAATTCCAAGATGGGCAGAACACTCTAGAATGGGCATTCTGCTGGTCGGACTTTTATTTTCCCAAAAACTATTGAAAGGACCAGTCCACTTCCTACTCTTCCTTAACCCTCCTCCCTGGAAGCTCACTGTTATGCCTGACCTTATGCTTTCCAACAATGTCCCCTTAACTGCTTCATAACTCCTTCTAACCAAGTGTAACATTTTTACTGAGCAGAGCTAGGAAGGACCAAGGCAATTCTGTATGTGCTGCCCCACAGTGTTGGGGGAATCAGGTTGCAGACCCAGAAACTAGCCTGGGAGAAGTGGCAGCAGCCAGCATTGGCAGTCCTCGACTCTGCACTGTCTCACTTGGTGCCAGACTCGGTGAACCTGGCTTAAATCCTGTCTCCGATATTTGCTGTCTGTGTGACTTTAGGGAAGTTAACTTTCCCCCTGGGCCTCCACTCCCTCAGATGTAAAATGAGAAGGTTGGATGAAATGGCCTGTAAGGTCCCCTCCAGGTTTAATCTGTGATTCTATGACCTACAGACTAGCCCATGGGGTTAGCCCAGCGACGGTCAATAACAGTGCAGGGAAGCAGTAGGAGTAATAACAAAACCTCTGAAATGGAAGGTGGGGGAAAGGGCCCAGACTGTGCCCCGGGTTAGAGGCTACAAGAGGGATAGCGTGTTGGCAGTGCCCTGCTCACCGTTTCTTACTCACCTTCTCCCTTGGCTAAAGGGATCTGAAGTCAAGTTAAGTCAGCAAGCATTTCTGAAGTGCCTGGTATGTGCCAGACACTGTACTGAGTGCGAGGAATACAAAGGAAGCCAACAATAGCCCTTGCTCTCAAGGAGCTCAGTCTACTAGAGGAGAGACGACAAGCAAGAAGACTGTGTACAAACAAGGCACAGACAGGATAAACTGGAGATCTGCTCAGGGAAAAGGGACTAGCATCAAAGGGGACTGGGTCTCTTTGTACTGTATGCAGTTGTCAGTGCCCCATAGGTCCAGTGATCAGAGGGGACAGCCACGGGAAAGGGAGGTGGTGAGGACGCTCAAAGCCAAGGAATGGGAGAGTCTCACAGCATCAGTTCTTCCTTCTCTCTGCAGTGTCCAAGATCTGTGCCCAATGTGAAATGGAGCACAGTGCAGATGGCCTCATGGAACAGATGTGCTCCAGTGACTTTGGTGAGTATGGCTGCCTCGAAGACTCCCCTCAAATTCAACCCCCACCTGGCTCCCAGCAAGCTCCAAGCCTATATCAGAGATTCACATAGAAGGTATCACATATGCATCTGGCTGGGAGACATATATCACCTACATACAAAGATGGGCATAAAGCCTACTTTTAAATAGATCTGACATTTATTTCACATTTTAAGGTTTCAAAGTACTTTGTATACCCAGGATATCATTTGGTCCCCACAAATCCCAGGAAGTAGAAACTATGGGCATACTATTTCCATTTTATAGATGAGGAAGCTGAGTGCTGCTTACAGAGGTGACTTTATATAGCTCCTAAATGTGAGACACAGGATTCAAATCCAGGTCTCTTCTCACATCACTTTTCTGAGAGGCACTACATAACCTCTCAAAAGTAACCACTGGTGGCATTTATATTAGTTTAGTGTCTGAAAAGTGCTTTTCATTCATTGTCTCATTTGTTATTAACAATTAACCCTATGAGTTAGGTGTTGTTATTGTGCCCATTTTACAGATAGAGAAACTGAGGCTCAAAGATGTTGGAGGACTGAGGGAGCAGCTGGACACCTAGCCCACTGGCCAACTCAATGAGTTGCTCTCTCAGATACATACATACATACATACACACATATATAAATATATATACACAGGTGTGTGTATACACAAAATACATAATGGGTAATTACAAGTAAGGTTTTGGGGGAAGAAGAGAATGTTAAGAATTGAGGAGATCAGAAGTCCCTCTTGTCAGAGGGGGTATCTGAGCTATGCTTTGCCCACTGAGGTGTCCAGGTGATACTGTTAGTTTCTGAGGGTAGGCTTGAACCTTGGTATTCCTGACTGCAAGTCCAGCATCCATCTATATACCACACTGCTTCCAATAACTTGACCCAACCCAGATGTTTCCCACTAGCTACCTACAGATGAAAGGGCTCATATGGGGAAACTGAGGCTTGGATCAGGAAAGTGACTTGGCTAAGGTCCTACAATAAAATAATTCAGTTACCTGAACCCAGCAGGTCTAACTGCTGGCACCTTTGTGCTCTCTACCTATGCACCCCTCCTCTTTGCCTGAACAGCTTTTTGTCTCTTTAGAGTTTCCTTGTACCAGGTTTCCTGAAAGCCCAAGACTTTTCTGCAAGCAATCTACACTTCCCCTAAAACATCCAGGACTTTGGCTGCTCAGTAGGAAGTCCTCTGGAGACTCTCAATTTACATAGGCTTGCCTCTAAATAATTCACCACACCTTCCCCAGAAGCAGTCAGCATCAGAGTTAGATGGGAGTCAAAGCCAGGGCAGTGATGGGCATCTTCAAAATAAATACCATAGGGGCAGCTAGGTGGCATAGTGGATAGAGCACGAGCCCTGAAGTCAGGAGGACCTGAGTTCAAATCCAGCCTCAGACCAAACACTTGACACTTACTGGCTGTGTGACCCTGGGCAAGTCACTTAGCCCCAATTGCCTTAAAAAATGAATGAATGAATGAATGAATGAATGAATGAATGAATGAACAAAGAAACAAACAAAAATGTCATACTTCAATAGGATGGCTATGTGTGTAAACCTGGGCAAGTGACTTTACCCTCTCTCTGCCTCAGTTTTCTCATCTGTAAAATGACAATAATAACAGTGCCTACCTCCCAGGGTTGTATGAGTTAATATTTGTAAAGCACTTGGCAAACTTTAAAATACTATATAAATTATTATATATTATCAATGCTTGAATGGATTATTTCATCAGTGCAATTTATTCCCTCCATCAGTGCAGATAGCAGCCCATGCAATCCCTCATCCTGTATATTTCCTATCCATGATTTCCCAAAAGTCCCCCCTTTTTTTAATAATGGCCCCTGACACTTGTATGGTATTTTACAAAGCTACAAATCACTTTCACATCCATTATCTCATCTGATCCTCATGAGTACCCTGCAAGAGAGGGACAGGACCAATACTATATTCTCATTTTATGGATGAGGAAACAAGTTCAGAGAAACGGGGTGATTTGTCCAAGGCCACACAGCTTACAGCTGACAGAGCTAGGACCCAGGTCTTCTGACCATCAGTCCAGCGCTCTTTCCGATGCACAATGCACAGAACAGCATCTCAGAGCTGAAAGGGACTCCAGACACTTCCAGGATGTAGATTTCCTCCCTCCCATGAGTCCTCCTGACCTCTTCCCTTCCATCCTTCCCACAGTGGTCAAAATGCGGATCAAAGAAATCAAAAGTGAAAATGGCGACCGGAAGCTCATTGGGGCCCAGAAGAAGAAGAAGCTACTCAAGACTGGACCCTTAAAACGCAAGGACACCAAGAAGTTGGTGCTGTATATGAAGAACGGGGCCAGCTGTCCCTGCCCCCAGCTGGACAGCCTGACTGGGAACTTCCTTATCATGGGGCGAAAGGTGGAGGGGCAGCTTCTGCTTACAGCTGTCTACCGCTGGGAGAAAAAGAACAAGGAAATGAAGTTTGCAGTCAAGTTCATGTTCTCCTACCCTTGCTCCCTGTATTATCCCTTCTTCTATGGGGCTGCAGAGCAACACTGAAGGGCAGCCCTTCCTTCTTCCCCACCCAGTCTCAGCTGGTGCCTTCTCCTCCCAGCCCTGTGGACTAGCTGCCTCTTCCAACAGCCCCCAGCCACCACCTTCCCTCCTGCTCTGACTCGCCGTGCCTGATGGAGCCATTGAGTGGGAAGGAGAGCAGTTTCCATGTGGGAGGAAATGACAAGCAAATTGAGGCCCATCTGGCACAATATTACTGCCATGGGCCAATAGGTGATGTCCTGGCCTTAAGGGGAAGGTATGAAGTCAGGGGGTCACCTCCATTGGCCAAGATATACTCTGGTACTCCTGGTTGGTACCAAAGGAATTGGTTTCTATCCCGCTAACCCTGTCTTCTCATGTTGAGAGAGACCTGTGGATCTCAGCAAGCAGGTGGTGTGGGGGAATGAGGAGAGGACAGGTTGGTGAGCAAACTGAGGAAGTTATTTCCAGAGGGAGGTAAGGTGGGGCAGCCTCTCTCACTCTCAGTGATGGAAGCAAGGACTGGGAGGTCTCATTTTGAAAAAGGATAAGCTGCCCTGAGTAGCATCACATTTCTCTGTTCCTCTCCTCAATTTCTCCAGAAAGGAAAAGAAGTTAGAAACATCAGGTAAATGCATTGGGGGGTTATCATTCAAGCTCCAACCTCTCCTCCTTCCCCTTTTACCACTGACCTAGCCTTCCCCCCATTTCCCTACCCTTCCACCTAGGTCTACCTACCATTGGCCTTGACTTAGAGGGGAAGACCAGTCCCCAGATCTATGCAATTACTGCCCCCTACAGAATTTCTCTTGGGGGTTCATTCACCATCCTTAACATTTCCTATAAATTATTGCTGGTGCTGAGATCATAGGGGCTAGAGAATTTATGTCTTTTGTTTTTTTGTAAGTTTCTAATTAAACCAGAGAAACCAACCAGTGGAACTGGACCAAATAGCTTCTTTGCCTGACAGGTGGGAGGGATAGTTTGAAGGAAAGAAGCCTTACTTCGGCTTATGAATTCAGAAATACATACATTTCACCCTTAGCAAATTAAGAACAATAATCTAATTAGCATTTACATGGGCCTTTAAGGTTTGCAAAATGCTGTTCCCATAAAAGTCCTCTGAGTCAGGCACCGGAAGTTATGGGATCTCCATTTTGTAGATGCTCAGAGGTACTAGATGGTCAAGCAGATAGAGCGATGGGACCTGGAATCAGGATGATCTGAGTTCAAATCCAGCATCAAACACTTACTAGCTGTGTGACCCTGGGCAAATCACTTCACCTCTCTGCCTCAATTTCCACATCTGTAAAACGTAATAATAACAGCACCTAACTCTGAGAATTGTCAGGAGGATAAAATAAATTCATACATGTAAGTGCTTTGCAAACCTTAAAGTGCTATACTAATGCTAGCAACCATCATTATTATTACTATTAAACATCTACTACATGCCAAGCACTGTGCCGGATAGTGGGAATACAAAGACAGAAATGAAACAGTCTCCACCCTCCAAGCCACAGATAAGGACATATGAAACCTAGGGCAAAGGCCTGTACCTGTGATTTACAGACGGAGGAGCTCCTGGTGAACAACTTATTCTACCAGGCTGGTTGGCATCTTCTCTGCAATCTATAGTCCTAAAAAAGTACCTAGAGCAGTGGGGTCAAACCCAAATAGAATCAGAGGCAGCTAAGAGGATCCCTGCAGGCCACAGATCGACTGTTTTTAAATAAAATGTTATCTACATTTTACTGTATTTTTATTTAGTCACATTTTTCCCAGTTACATTTTAATCTGGTTGGGGCAGTGCTTAGAAGTGTAGCCCATGTGTCCAGCACTCTCACGTAGAGCACTGCAAAGTTGTCTTACCCAGGGTCATACAGACGCGATGGGTGTGTCAGATCAGGAGGCTCTTGAACCCAAGTCTTCCAGGCTCTGAGGCCAGCTCTGGCCACTCAGCTAAATACGCAAAACACATAACAGGGAATTACAAAGTATTGGAGGCAGGAGAGAACCTTGAGATCGAGTCGATGAGGAAACTCCTCTTTTCAAAGGGGGAACTTAAGCTGTGCTCCCCCCAAGATCACAGTTAATTTAGCAGTAGATGCAAATACCCCAAGCAGGTCCTCCATTTCCAGACCCTGTGCTCTTCTCTTTAAGCCAGCTGGTATTTTTTGTGAAGTCTTTAGATCTCCAAGGCCAGTGCAAATGTCACCGCTTTCATCACACAACTCCTTGGGAAGATAAGTCAGTGTCAGAGGTGACTGTGTAATGGAGTAAATGAGGAGGTTCAGTTACCCAGCGACTGGGTACATGTAATCAAATCCTCCTAATCAGAAGAGCCCTCTTACAGAGAGGCAACACAGTGTAGTGGAAAGGGGGGGAGGACTTGGAGTCAAGAGGCCTGGGTTTGAATTCTCTCTCTGGCACTTCCTAGTCGTGTGATCATAATGAAAATTATTGTTTTGCTATTGAGTCATTTCAGTTGTGTCTGCCTCTGTGTGACCCCATTTGAGGTTTTCTTGGCAAAGATACTGGAGTAGTTTTCCATGTCCTTCTCCAGCTCATTTTACAGATGAGGAAACTGAGGCAAACAGGGTTAAGTGACTTGCCCAGGGTCACATAGGTAGTAAGTGTCTGAGGCCAGATTTGAACTCAGGAAGATGAGTCTTCCTGACTCCAGGCCTGGCGCTCTATGCACTACGGCACCACTCAGCTACCCTATATTATAAAACGCTATAATACAGCTACCCTATATATATAATATAATATAGCTACCCTATATCAAAATGCTTTAAGGTTTTCAAAATGCTTTACATTTGTCATTCCATTCGATCCTCACAACATCCCGTGTGAGAGTTGCAATTAACCCTTTTTTGCGGAAGAGGAATTCATGAGCTAACTATTGACTTACTTCTCTGGGCTCCAATGTTCTCATCCATAAAATGGGGGTAATAATGTGTCTCCTGGCTAACTCACAGCTTTTCTGAAAGGAGAATGTTTCACAAACCTTGCCCAAAGATGGGGAGGACTCATGCTGAACTCTGTGTGTGGCAATGCTGGGCAAGTCATTACTGGCTTCAGGAGACCCTTCTAAGACTTTGGAGACAAGCCCTGAGGGAGCTGTCTGTGCCTGCTGTCACACAGCTAGTCAGTGGCAAGATCTGAACCCAGATCTTCCTGACTCTCAGCCTAGCATTCTATGCATTAGGACACACTGCCTCTACAGGGTAAATAAATATGAGCTATTCTTATTCTGCTTATTTGTCAGAGAAGAGCAAGGGAAGCCAGGACTCAAGCAAATTTGCCCAGAGGGTTTGAACAATGGCCCCTCTCATTCTTGACCTTCAGATCCCGGCATCCCTACAGATGGGGAATTCATGGTTTAAGAAGCACACTGCAGAGGCCAGGATACGTGTGGGGATTTGGGCGAGGGCAGAAATCGCTCAAAGCTAGACCACTAGGTCTAGAGAGCTGAACCTGGGGTTTGGGTCCTGGCTCCCTTACTACTAAGTCAAGTCAAGAGGCATTTACTAAAGTGCCCACTATGCACCAGGCACCGAGGAGACAAAGAGAGGCAAAAACGTGACCTCCAGGCAAGTAACTTCAACTTTTCAGTGCCTCAGTTTCCCCATATATACAATGAAGGGGTTGGACTAGGTGACTTTCAGGCTCTAAATTAACAATTCTCCACCCGACCATGCTGGAGATAACCTCACCGCTGAGAGGGAAGCTGCTCAGGTGTGCAGTGGCAGTAAAGTGGATGACTACTGGGAGACCGATTAGGCCTGGGAGCTTACTTTGAAAGCGGGCGCTGTTGTGCCTGTGAGGGGTATAAGGCGTGCATCTGGGAATTCCAGGGATTTGGCTTGAGGAAATACATTATTATAATGGCTAACATTTACACAGCACTTTGTGATTCACAAAATGCTTTACATAGACCATTTCATTTGAGCTTTACAGCCACCCTGGGAAGTTATTATCTATTACTATTATTATCCTCATTTTGATACAGATGAAGAAACTGAGGCAGAAAGAAGTTGCCCAGGGTCACACAACTGGGAAGTGTCTGAAGCAGAATTTGAACTCAGGTTTTCCTTACTCTAGGTTACTCTATCCCCTATGTAGTTTGCATATAAAAATGTAGGTGGACTGGACGATCACAGACTCAACAAACTTTGAACCAGTGCTCCAAGGTGGACCCTTTCCCACTGGGATTAGTAAACAGAGTAGGGCTTTCTGAGGTTGGCCAAGGCAGAAAGTCTGGCTGGGCATACTTACTTTGAGCTAGCATTCATCTGAGCTAGTACAGCCCTCTTCCACCTTCTCTCCCTGTTCCCAATCCCAAAAGGAAGCTTTGTTGCATGTTCTCATGCCTTTGAATTTTTCCCACCCTCCTTGAGCTCTCGGCCTCCAGGAATGAGCACAGGGAACAGATGGTAGATCTGACTGGGGCTCCTTCTAGAACAAGGGTTCTTAACCAAAGGGTCTGTGGATAGATTTTGGAGAGTCCATGAACTTGTGTGTGTGAAAAAATATATATCTTTATTTTCACTAGCCTCTTATAAATTTAGAATTTCCTTCAACTATTAAAAAACATTATTCAGAGGAGGGGTCCACAGGCTGGCTTCACCACAGTGAAAGAGCCAAACAGTTCTATGACAAAAAAGTCTCATTCTTGGGGATTAATCAAGGAACTGCAATGAAGATGTCTCAGCTGGAGGAAAGGAGAAACACCAATGACCATTCTTCTTCTGAAGAAGAAAAGCCCGGCCTCCATTTTCTTTCTGTCCAAGAGCCTTTTCCACTCCATCCCACATACCCCCCAAAAAGGGGAAAAGCAACTACAATAGGAAAAACATTAAAAGAGGGAGAAGGAAAAAGGGCATAATCCCAGGAATTCTCCCTCTGAGGAAAGACAGAGTTCTCTAAATCCACACCAACAGGTGGGGCATAAAATGCTTTTGGGCTGGCAGCATTAGGGTATAAATCACCCTCCTCAAGCAAGCAGGTGGGCCGGCCACAAAGTAAACACTAGGCAGGGACAGCTTCCCCTTTGTTTCTACCATGGAGGGAGAAGACACTGCCGCCTTCCCCGAAGCGCTGCTCCCGGCCCATCTGATGTGAATCTGCTCCTTGTCTCTTGCCCTTACTCTGGTCAAATATTTGTGGATACCTTCTGGCGAATTGGGGCCAGAGATATTTTTCCACTGACCAGACAAATCGGCCTACCTCTCCTCTTAGTCCCGGCATAGTACCTACCTCTGTTAGGCACTGGCAGCTCAAGGAAGGGCCCACCCAGCTTGCTCCCTCACCCCATCTGACACTTGCTTCTCAAGGAGCCCTAACTAAGCCTTGTAGTCAACATCACCAGTTCCTTATTTGCGTGTAACACTTCAGTCTACAAAGGACTTCACATCTTCTCTCCCACGTGGCCCTTACAACTACCCTGGGAGGTGGCTAATGACAGCAGCTCATGTTTATGTAGCACTTTACAGGCAGCTAGATCGCGGGTGGATAGAGAACTAGATGGGAGGTGAAGATCTGATTTCAAATTCTGCCTAAGCCCCTTATTACATATTATGACTTTGGCCAAGTCTCTAAACCTTTCTCAGCCTCAGTTTCCTCATCTATAAAACAGGGATAAATAATAGCACCTACTTTGCAAAGTTGTTGTGGGGATCAAATAACACATGTGAATTGCTTTGCAAACCTTAAAGTGTTACAGAAATGCTGGCTATTAGCAGTTATTATTGCAAGGCATTGCCCTCAAAATAAGCTTGTGAAGTAGATTCTACGAGTTCTAAGAGCAGGTGATGAAACTGAAGCTCAGAAGCTGGGTACATGGTAATAACTGACACTTTAAAATCTACAAAGCACTTTACCTACATAATCTCAGAACTTCAAACAGTCGTGAGAGACAGGAACTACAGGTAGT